TGATGAAACTTTGTATGCATGTATATATTGATGAGAGCTTGGTCAAGTTCAAATTTGGATTAACGGTATAGGAGTTATTGCCCTTGTCATGATAAAAAACATTCAAATTTGATCAAACTTAGTATGCATGTATATATTGATGAGATCTAAGGCAATTATTGGAGGAATAGTTGTTAAGTTACTGCCCTTGATTTAGTTAAAACATGTTGGCTGTTCCCTCCAGACTGTTCAGTGAAATGGTTGATGACACCAAACCCTCTGATTCCATGATAGCAGCATTAGTCTACTTTTATTCAATTTCCAACTGTATAGGGATCTATATATACACAACCTGCACGTGTTGGCTATTCCCTTGAAAATAATTGACTAAATGCAATCTGAAAACATTTATGTCGAACTGTAGACTATTAATATATTCATGATTCTATATATTTCTAATTTAGTTGAAGAAAATGCAACTGGAGAACCAAGTCTACTGATGGCCGCGGCGGAACTCGTTCAGAAATCTAAAATTAAGGAAGAAAAAGAAGACATTATGGTGATGGACACAAAATTAAAAATTATTGACATCTTAAAGGTAGGATCTTTCATCTTTAGGTTTAAAAACCTTACTGTTAGGTTCTATTTTTTTGATATTATGACAGGGACAGATTCCCCATTACCAAAAGTTGATTTGGGTCTTAAATATATGTAACTAATCTTCAGAAATACCAGAAATCAATGAAAATGGCATAATTCCTTCAAAAATACATCGGACTAGGAATTTCACTTTCAAACGTAGATAATTCTGGATTTGAGAGCCCAATTTTTGACAGTGACCTGTGAACACTATTACTAATTAGCTTAGCTAATAAAGACGAAGGTACGATAGGTTAAATAGATGGCGAGTCTGTCTCTTTAAAACAAAAGATAATATTTAATGTTTGGTGTTTATTTTTATATTTTTTGAGATAATAGTGTAGCTTTGTAAAAATTGGGACACATGTCAATGAGATAGAACTTTCTGATCTGATATACCCTTGTCAGTGAAAAAGAGCTCCCCTTGAACAATATATTATAACAAGCATATTACTACAAATGCCATGTCAAAATATCTCTGATAGAGATCTTCACAGTGCTCAAACTCAAACTCCAAGTCATTTCACTAATGATTTTTTTACATATTTCAAAAAGAAAGATCCCCTTTTTTTTAAATTTCTTCTATTATGTGAAATTTTGATCTATTTTGAATGATAAAGAATTAAGTATATTTTTCTTTGAGCATTTGATTTTGGTCTGATTTTTGTCAAAGATTTTTTCTGCATGTGAAAAATTGATTCAAGTCTGCATTTTTATGTCAATTTTATAAAAATGGTAATAATTTTAAATTTATTTGAATCATTTTTGATATTTTGTCATCAGCTTGATTATTAGATAAACGTACACTTGTTGTCTGAAACATCTTAACTTTATTGTGTTGTTTTAATAATCTAATTACCAACAGAAAACATCAACTTTCTGTCTGTGTGTTAGACCAGGAATGTCCAGGATTCAAACCCAACAAAGGTTGAGATACCTGTTTCTCGTCTGTCAGCAATGCACGTTAGGTCCAAAGGGGCTGACATGGAAAAAGTGTGTCATGCAGATGGAACCAAAAAACTTAGAGCCCATATGTTACAGGCTGTGTTGTGTTAAGTAGACGAATACTGCTGTCCCTAATGAAGAGGCCTGATCTTTCCATCCACTGTACTTTGTGGTTCTGATATTGTATTATGATAATAATATAAGTTATAATGTTTCAGTCAACTAGTTTGCTAGATGTTGTATCTGTGATATTTTATGTTTTAACCTGTGAGATATTTTTGATTGTTTTATTTCAGTTTATTTTAAATGTTAGATTAGACTATAGAATCACCTGTTTATTGTCTATTTTTAAACAAGAGCACGACGTAAATTCCACGCCCAAATTAACGGATGGTATTTAATTTTACCTTATGTTTATAAACTGTTAACTTGTTATTATTGTGGAAAAAACAATTTTCATGTATTTACACAGTTATTCCTGAACAAAATATGCTAAAAATATACAAAAGTTATGAGATGTGTGGCGCCAGACAGGGTATGCTTACTCTTCTAGACACCTGATACTACTTTTCATTATGAAATACCTACTCACTTACAATTGATATACTTCCTCATGTGAATAGTTTATTAGCTGTTACCCATTTTTTGTCAAAATGTTGTTTTGGAATTGGGGTTTCATTTTGTGGATCAGATCGTTATATATTTGGTTTATTTATTTGTGAGTTGACAAATATGCTGGAATATACAAAGGATAGGCTAATCCACAGACATTTTTACACAAAATTTGCTAAAATTCACAAGCATCTCATGATTAAATATATTTTTGTGGGTGGAATCCAAAAATTTAAGTTGCCACAAAGATGTTTCTAAAGACTAATCCATGAAATTTGGTGCCCACAATAGATAATGATTTGACAGTATTATCTAGATAGCTTATTTATATAGCTTATTTATATAGCTTATTTATATAGCTTGGTGTTGGATATTTTATTTCTATTCTGTATCTATTTGTTTTAAAGACTATATCTTGAGGTTTACGGATCATATACCATTCAAACCCTAATTATAGTTCTGTTGGTTTTTATGCATCTTGGTATTATTTCACTTTTTCTGTACATTCCACATTGTTTGTTGAGATGAGACTACGTGGACTATTTTTTGTTGATTTTGGGCATTTTGTGTTGAAAATTTATTAGTTGGTGGTGCATTTTTCTTGGCTTTTTTAATTGTTCCTTTATATGCTTATTAGTCTGTTAGTCTAACTTCCCTCTCGTTTGTCCAACCTATCTATCTCATGTCATCTATAACATATCTTTTTACTCCTTCCGTACTCCCTAATTCTGCTATTCCATTGTCTCCTGACATAACCAACTATTAAATAATGGTGTATATATTTCAGTATTTAACTCAGATTCGTCTAGATTACCGTGTAACGTGGATCCTGTCAAATTATAAACAGGAGATAATTCCTCAGTTACAAGATGATATTGATCAAGATATGAACGTAGACATTAGTATGTTTTACGGAACTTTTCTAGTTTGATTCGTGTCTGCTGGTTTTTTAAGTTTGTTTGCTTTGTAGTGGAATGAACCCTCTAGCTGTATGAAACGGTATTTGAGTCTCCAGTTTCCAAACCTTAGATCCACCAGCTGATATTCTCATCACTCAGTTAAGTTTAGGATCTAAGTTTTCAAGATGGTGGGTTTTGTAGTCTTCATTTCTGTAATGAAGACACTGATAGCTCTGATTTGCGCCATTCAAAGTTTCAGTCAGACGTCTTGTGGTTCTTGTGATTCCACTAAAACTAAGTGTTTTATGATGTCACTATCAGAAAAACTGCTTATGATATTTAATAACCTTTGCGATAGTAAGGTAAATATATGCTAAGTGGAATTGCAGGAACCACAGACGTCTGACTGAAAATCTGAGTGGTGCAAATCAATGCTATTAATGTCACTGATACACATAAATTTAGAAAACCTCTTTACAATCCCTTTCAAAATGAGCCAATGATTTGAAGAATTAGCAAGATGAGGGATAAAGCAGTAGGTAGCAAAGTGTGCTGAGGATGTCTCCTTGTTGGATCAAAGGATGAGATGTGGAAGACTCAACTACCTTCATTACAGCAAGATGTGAAGAAATAAACAGCATTAATTCAGAGTGATTTTGATGTCTCTAGAATTTTTTTAACAATTTGATTCACTGTGTGATTTTTCCTAATTTCTAGAAATTTTGTATTTTTTTTTCTAATATTTTAACACATTTTGGTTTCCACAGACACAATATTTTTATTAGATATGTAGTTTTATTAATTTTTAAAATTTCAACCCTGTACACCACAGAATTAGAGTAGCATCCCTTGATATTGTTCGTCTAAGTTTTAACATTTGGGTCTTGCTTGAGGATGTAAAATAGTGGAATTGGCATGTGAACTTCAGTAAATTGTTAAACCGAGTGCAAATAATATAGATCATCATATGCCCTGATCTCTATAAAAATTATGTGATGTTACTTGGTAAGGCGCACTTCACCAGCTAAAGGAATAAAAGGACTGGTTCACTTTCACCTATTATTGTAAGCATGCTCGTTGGAGATTTGACATTCTCGTCCGTGGTAGGTCTAGATGGTTCAAAGTTGAAGGAGGTTCAAGAATATGTAGATCTGTATTTTCAAAATGTCCTTCATTGCACACTGCAGGGCAATATCCATGCTCATTATACCTAATCAGTAGCAATAATAGGATGCTGAGCTACATTTCTTTTTAATAGTCTAACAAGATACAGGAAAATTGGGTGTAAAACTTCTTTTTAATTTGCTTTTCTTCTTTTCTTCATATCAATGTATTACTTTGTTTTCAACATTTTCAATTAAAAAAATTTATAATTCTTCAGATTTAAATAACTTTAATGATCTCAAATTCATTCATAAATACATCAGTATTATTATCTTAGTAATAAAAAGTCAATTATCTGTATAAGTTGTAATGATTATATTAAAATATATTTTGTATAATTTTTCCAGGTCTAGATTTAGAAAGTATCGCTACACAAGCTGAGGATATCTTCGGTGGAAGGTAATTTATATTTCTCAATTAGTTTATTACAATAAAAAATACATGTGAGTTATGTGGCTAATTTGATTTGCAAAGTCAAATACTGATATCAGTTGTTTTTGAAAAGTTGCTCAGAACTCTGGGAAAAGAAATCTGATTGGTCAATACTTCACAAGTACGAATAATTTTCATATACATAATTACGATCTAGTTAAGAAATGAGAATTGAATTATTGTTTCTATATTTTCAGTACGGAGACAGCTGAACTAGATTTAGATGGTCAGGGAGGAAAGATGTTTCTACGTGTATTATTGAGTCTGGTAATGCATGACTACCCTTCGCTGGTCTCCGGAGCTCTACAACTATTATTCCGTCATTTCAGTCAACGTCAAGAAGTTTTACAGGCTTTTAAACAGGTGAGATTAGATTGATTATTTAGGCCAATGTGAGAAAATTTGGCATTTAAAAATATGTTTAGACTTCCTTTCATAATTTAAAATTTCTTTATGTATTCGAGGCAATCCCTCATTCAAAACTAATAAAATAAAGATTTTTATAAAAAATAAACTGCTCATACTTCTGTTTATAGAAATTATTCTAGATAATAAATTTCACGTAATCTATTCATTTACTTGATACAACAATAGATAATAATATATCATTCCCTCTAAGTCCAGCGCACACGTGAGTCAATAGCTCAACCATTCGTCACAAGTAACTGATATCTCAACCTGTGTGGGTCAATTTTGCTGCGTTGTTTGCCTCGCGAGACAGTGCCTCAGAAATCTATCATGTTTCATATTTTTTTGGCACGAATGACGTTTGACTCAAAGTGTTCGCTTGACATGAGACGATAGCTCAGCCAGCATTTTCTCCACGGCCAATAGAATGTGTTTATGCTGAGCTGTTGACTCATGTGTGCGCCAGACTTTAAATTTTTTTGGTAGGTGCAGAATATT